AATTTATTTTATGACTTAACGGTTCCATCTATTACTTTATTTGTGACTAGCTTTTGCCCGCGACTCCGTCCGCGTGGAATAAAAAAAAAGTAAGCTTATGTTTTCTTCCAGAATATCATTTACATCTGTACCAAATTTCATTAAAATCTATTTAGCCATTTAGGCTATAAACTCTAACAAACATCCATCCATCCATCTATCTAAACTTTCGCATTTATAATAGCAAGATAGTGGGTCTAAAAGGTGGGACGGATGAAACATTTTATTTCGCCTGTCCCCACGTGGGGACAGAGCCGGGTGACGGTTGAGAATATTGCGCGATATTACTAAGAGCGAGTGCCTTGAGTAAACTATTGCACAACTGTTTCGCTTTGATTCCTATGAACTACTTGATTTTGAGTTGTACATAAACAATTGAATTATAAAGCAATCGACAATCGCTCAGTTGTGCGACAGTTTAGTCAAACGACTGCCCGCTCTTCTAACGGCCGAATACTAAAAGTTAAACATAATACGCTTACAATCTGACAGATGCGTAATTTTAATGGTATTTGTAGTTTAAACGTGTTATTTAAAACATATATAAATGTCGTTTTTTAACGGGCGTATCCTTTTTAACTAAAATATCTCACAACTGTTGTGTTGTCGATTCACAATACAGTTTAGTTGCACAACTAATCGAGTAGTCTCATAGGAAACAAAGCGAAGTTGTGCGATAATTCAGTCAAACATGTCCTCTTAGTATTCGCCCGAAATATATTGTTTGTGTGAAAAATCAAGTACAAACATTGGTTATTATAATTGACGGCATTTTTACAATTTTTCAAACATTCCATTTTAATAGTAACATCTATACTATTATAATAAAGCGTAAACACACACTTCATTGTTACCTAAGATGTCAGCAATTACAACATATTTTTGAATAAATCTTTTTATAATAATAAGCCCTACACTTGCGTCACGCTTTAGGCTATATATTTTCACGCCACCAAAATTAGGAAGGTAAATATTTTGGATAAAAACCCTAATGTAGGAAAGAGACCATAAGTTGCTGCCAACATCAAGAAAGCAAGATTGCTAAGGTTTGTCATGTCATGTCATTTTGACATTTGCTATTGATAATTTCACAAATGTAAAGAATCAAATAAAATTTTCGTAATTTCATGCAGATGAAGAAGCATGAGAACAGCTAGTAATATAATATTATTTGATTCCAATTTAATAAAATAATTTGACAATTTTTACATGTCACTGTTCTTTTTGCGTGATTTTTTCATTTCTCATGTTAATTATTATTCAAATGTATGTGAGAATTGGTTTTAAACAAATAAAATATATTAATAGTTTTTAGGGACCAAAGACACCGATGTTTTATTTTATTAAAAATTGTGTCGATAAAATGTTTATTGTTCAATGCATTTTGTCATTTTTTTTGTTAATCGACGTTAAATTATGCTTTTGCTGTTGTGATTTTTATTGTAGTAAGTTTGCTTTTATTTTAAAATAAGACATACGTAATGTTGAGATTATTATGTTAGTATTCAAACATTTTAATTATACAGGCTGTGCTAAAATTGTTTTTTTTGAAAAATTAAATAAATAATTGTTATATCATATTATTATTACATTAATTTTTAAAGCATAATTCGTAATTAATTTATTTTTCTAATAATTTTTTAAATCGATTGATTTTTACAACGCCCTGTATTTTTTAGTTCTGAAATTATTTCGCTTTTTAATATTTCATTTAACTTTGTAAACAGAAATATATTTATTTATTGTATATTTTACGCTAATTAGTGATTTAATGTTTTGCTGAATGTTTTGTATAAAATTATCGTTTTAAAAAAAATAGAACCAAAGAAATAAGTTAACACAATAAAC